CAAGTATGAGTTTGCTTCAGGTGTTTTGGTAGTTGTACCTCCTGAAGATACTCAGTTTTTCAATGGCCTGTAGGTGAGATCTAGTCCCTGACTTTCCCAAAGCCAGGCAAATACCATCTGGAGACAGACTAGACTCAAAGAGCCAGAGGTGCAGAGATAGATCATACCCATTTCCTCTCAGGGGGTTGGCTGATCGGGTACCCTATTTGGTGCCAAAACTGGAAGCAAAACTGGATGTTCTTCTGATGAAGAATTCTTTATGTTCCACCTGGGCCCATCACATTCATCACTTCAGCAGGTGAAGGGATATATAAATGGTGGTACGTCCGTACAATGGAGTATTAGTCAACAGTTGAAACAAATGAGCTACCAAGCCATAAGGACATGAAGGAACATTAAATGCATATTGCTACATGAAAGACATACTTAAGAAGACTACATGTTATATAATTCCAAGTATATGACATTCTGGAGAAGGCCAAATTATAGAAATAATAAAAATATCATTTCTTGCCGATGGTTTAGGGTGAATGGTACAGGTGGAACTCAGGATACTTTTAGGACAGTGAGACTCTTCTTATGATGCAATAATGGTAGATACCTAATATTATGTATAATACAAAGAATGAACTATACTATAAACTCTGGGCTTTAATTAGGAATAACAAATCAATACTGGTTCATCAGTTGTGACTAATATACCATACAAATGCAAGATGTTAGTGTAACAGCATAGCAGCTGGCCTTAAAGGTTGACTTGCTTCCAGTTAACACTACTTACTTGCTGACCTAAGTCCCTTGATCTGCAACAGATTAATTTACTTTCTTTGAGGTTTATAGACCACTGACCTTGAGGAGTGAAGGACCAGACCTTTCCCAGGCCACAGAAGCCAGCAAGTCTGTTTGAAACAGTCTTGGCTCTCTGATTAGCCCAGCAATTTTTTTAGCAAAATGTTTTTTTTTTTGGTCACGCAAGTGATTTTACTGACTTCCTGCAAAGGAAGGCAACACCTATATCTGTAGGTGTTGCCTTCCTTTGCAGAAAGAACAGAATACACATCAGGGAACAAGAACCAGAAACCCCCCACCCACCCAAAACACACACACATACAATTCCTCCGCACTAAGATAACTTTTGTAGCTAGTATCGTGGAATCTTCACATAATCAAGAATCCTGGCAGGCCACTGCGCTCCCTTTGCTGATTAGCTACCCTACACTGTACCCTACACCCCTTAAGAAACCCCAAAGCCAGGCAGAATCCTTGGAATTGTCTTTAGAACATGAGTCCGCCTTCTCAGGTTGCCAGCCTCCTGACTAAAGCTCACATTCCTTTCCAGTCAAACACTCGTCTCTTGAGTAATGGCCTTTTGAGGGACTGGTAACCGAACTTGGGCTCAGTAATCTTAGTAACAGGGAAACTGTAGGAGGGGTGAGGGTGTAGAGGAGGCAAGTAGAGTAGAACTTTGGACTTTATGTGCATTTTTTCTATAAGCCTACAAGTGCTCTAAAAATAAAGTTTATTGAGTGAAAAAGAAAAAAAAAAAAAACTCTTGCAGTAAGGGAGCTAACTACTGCAATGGGGAAGGGTGGCTATAGCCACAGGGAAACAGCTCCCATCTTAAGATCTGCAAATGTCTGAAAGATTAGTCACAGAAGTGCATGTGTGTGTGTGCGTGTGCGTGTGCATGTGTGTGTGTGTGTGTATTTACAAATAGGAAAGAGCTCACAGAGTAGGCAGTTAGACAGGAGTCAGTGATAAATAGGTGACATGTTAGAAGTCTGAGGGTACAACATCCTGACTCCAATGGCTTTAACAAGCTGCCCTTAGGGCTTCCAACACTCCAGGGCTGACAGACCCAGAGCCACAGGTGCAGAACATGCCTCTTCTTTTTAATCTCTGCCCCAGGGTAACCTATAGCTTCATTACAGTATATTTACACTGTGGTTTCAAGGACACCCCCCCCCAAAGGGGAAGGTGGCCAGGAAAGTTGCAACAAGAACCTTGTAGGGCCAAAACTCCCCTTCCCAAGTGGTAGGAGGAGTCCCTTGTGTAATTAGAAACAACCTCTGTTAGAGAGGGTCCTAACCGATGTGGTTTGGGAATATAGTGATGTTCGGTGTGGTGAGGTCCGGAACTGACAACCAAGAAAGAATTCTTGACATGCCTTTGGTGCAAAATGGTGGTTTATTAAAGCACAGGGACAGGACCCATGGGCGGGCAGAAAGAGCTGCTGCACTGGGGTTGTGAGGAGTGGCTGATTATACACTTGGGAGTTGGAGGAGGTAAGGAGAAGGGAGGTTCTGGAAAGAACTTTATATGCTGAAGAGGATTTACAAGATACTGGAGGCCTGCCACTGTCAAGCTAAGGTTGTTTTTCCCTCTAACATTAACATTAAGATAGTTGGGAGCTTCCAGGAAGAATGTCACACAAATCCCACCCAGGAGTCGAGGGTGGGGGGAGTGGGTTGTAGGGTGTCTGCTTGTTCTTTGTCCTCAGCTAGACCTCTGTTCTCTCATCACTAACTATGACCCTTAACCTCTGCGAACATAAAAAGTAAATACACTCAACTCCTGTGTGATGAAGTTCTAGAACATAGGTGAGGTTCAGTGGAGTGAGGTCTGGAGCTGATGACCAAGAAAGAATTCTTGAGACATCTTTGGTGCAAAATGGTGGTTTATTAAAGCACGGGGACAAGACCCGTGGGCAGGAAGAGCTGCTGCCCCGCTATCCTGAGGAGTGGCTGATTATATACACAGGAGTTGGGTAGGTGAGGACAAAGGGGATGATGTTAGTCTCTAAGGAATTTTGGAAGCAAGGTCTCCAGGACCTTGAGGGGCTAGCTATTGTTGGGAGAAAGGTTATTTATTACTAGTAAAAAATCGTCTCCTGAGACCCTTTAGATGTGTTTTTTTTTTTGTTTTGTTTTGTTTTGTTTTGTTTTGTTTTTGTGAGACCCTTTAGATGTGTATCAGTGGGTCACATGCTTGGGAATGATTGCTGACACTATCTTGGAGGTTTAGAGATAAAGTTTCACATTTCTCCTATCAAGTGTCCTTGTTAGTGAGATTTAGGTTTAGGAGAAATTTAACTTTATTTACATTTCCTTCTGTTATCCCTGAGTTTTCATGTCCGAGAGACCACCAAGGAGCCAAGCACCGATGCAATCACATGAGGGTTTATTTGACAAACTTAAGCTTGGGCCCAAGTATACCCGACACAGCGGAGTAGGGACTTGGACCCCGAACCAGATTACAGTCAGAGATTTTAAAAGGCAGAGTAGGGGTGTACTCGGCAGTGGGTGAGGACAAAGGGGATTAGGGATGGCATAAGTCTCTAAGGACTTTCGGAAGCAAGGTCTCCAGGACCTTGAGGGGCTAGCTATTGTTGGGAGAGAGGTTATTTATTACCAATAATAAAAATCTTCTCGTGAGACCCTTTAGATGTGTATCAGTGGGCCATATACTTGGGAATGATTCTCCACACTATCTTGGAGGTTTAGAGATAAAGTTTCCTAAAGGAATTGTTAAAGTAGACTTACAGGATTCTGGTCAGACCTGTCGGGGTAGGGGGTCGGTCAGGCTAGGATTGTCCTTAGCAAAACCTCAAGGTGAGGGCAGTTAAGTCCCCAGGGGAGAGCCACTCTGTCTGTTTCAAGGGCTTGTCAGTAGGTGAGGAATTTTAATGATTTTCTTCTGCCTCTGTTTCCCACATCAGCTAAACTTGAGGCAGGATGGCCTTAATTTTCTCGGCCTCCACACTTCTGCCTCAGCCTCCTTCAGTTTTTATGGAGGGGAGGGTGACATTAGGGCTTGAGGAACTGAGTTATTTGTCTCTGGAAATTGGGCTATTGATAAGATAGTTTCTTTGTTGTAAATCACTAGGACATTTGTAGACTGAGGGAGACTCCTGTCTTGCAGGATTGTGATCTCTGCAAGTTAACTATTTGTTTTTCTTCTAGGGCAGCCAGGGGTGCCTGAGGAATGTCACACATATTACCGAGGGGAGCGGGTGGAGAGGGGGTGCAAGGTGCCAGCTTTTGCTTTGTCCTCAGCCAGCCTTCTGCTCCCTCATCATGTGCAGTGGCCACTTTCCAGCCTGCCCACTCTCCCTTCTCCAAAGTGTACTGTACTTAATAAACTGCTTTGGGCTTGCTACTTTCTTTCTGGCTGTACTTAGTGGAGCGTGGATCCTCAGGTAAATCTTTTGTGGGTAATCCAAGAATCAATACCTCCATTCACACGATGTAGACTCTCCCACTGGTAACACAGCAATGGAAACTAAAAAGAGAAACTCATTCTTTTAACAGAGCTGTAACAAGGCAAGAAAGAACTGGGTGTCAGTGGCAGGGTGGCAAGATCAAGAAATATCTTTCTTTATTGTCAGCCAAGTTTTGGGAGGGACTGTTTGGCATTCCTGTACTTGATTAACCTTAGGAGTAAATCAAATTTCAGGGTCGTGTGGGGGAGAAAAAAAACTTGATCAAGTTAAGTTTACAGGTATTTTATTCTGATCGCTCACGGGGGGCAAATGGTTTGGCTGATTATTTATGAGACATAGAATGGGAAATTGGCGGGTTTGTGTCTGGTTTTGTCATAGGTAAACAAGGGGCCTGTGGCGAGTCTTATCTAAGTAACATGGAAAAAGGTGGTTCTTTGCGGTTTAACAAAAGACCACAAAAGAAATTGAAATAGACAAGTTTATTATTCAAGGCCTTGGAGCCACGTGGGTGGGTCAAGGAAGGCTGCAGGCAGAGAGAGGGAGGCATCACCTGGGGCACAAGCCTTATTGTATTCTTCTGAATAAAATGCTCTGGGGCTCCTGGAGTGAGGCTGGAACCTTCGATTCAAACCAAAAAGAGCTGGGTGGGAGGGAGAGGGAGGTGATTTTTAAATATCCCAAAGATACGGGAGCAAAGACTTATGGGAAATGTAGTTTTCACTCTGGTGTTGGACTTTCCGGCTGCTTTTGCGCGCGCGCTCCCTTTCACTCGGCGTCTGTAAGCTGTCTTTCCCCAGGGTACACCTTTGCGTGGGTGGCGCTTTCAGGGTCACGGAGTCTTTGCACTCCCTGGGGACCAGTGCGACAGGATAGGGGAGTAGCGGGTGAGTCCCGGAGTCCCGGAGGGTTGGCGGACCCCTTTGCAGGGATCCGTACGTCTCAGGGTCGGCGGGGGTGAGGAGGGGGCAGTAGAAGGGACCGCGCAGCGGGACCTCTAGCGCTTGAGCCCGCGCAGGGCGGGTGAGGGCGGCCTCGGCCTTGAGGAGGAAGGGGCGGGCGTCCAGCGTGGGGACGCGGGGGCGCAGGTCCCGGCAGGTGGCACAGTCCCTGCGCAGTCTCGCGGCTGCCGGACGGGGCCACACTGGGCGGAGCTCGGTTGAAGTTACTGAGAAACTCTGGAAATGACATTCAGTTTTGGGTTGTGCAGAATGAGAATATTTTAATACCTGACCTGCGGTTGTTGATTTAATACCAACCTCTGGTGGTTCTGCGCTGTTAACGTTTGTTATATATATTTAGGTTTTTGTCGTCACGAGATCTCATTTCCATACTTGAGGTAAGTTAGCTGTTTACATGTTAAGAAAATGGGAAAACTGAGGCTCAAAGATGAAGTGATTTATCCAAGATCACACAGCCAGCAGCGGAGGGAATCTAGTTTTCTACCTGTTTTTCGGCCCATCTCATATTCTTTCTAATAAACCAACCGCCCTGCCTAAAACCCGTCGTTATTCATAGCATTGAGCACCGATACTGCCTTTACAGGTTCCAGGAAAGTAATTGATACAGGAAGTGTAGGGGGACTGGATAATTTCTTGGCCCTTGTGTTTATGGGATATTTATTTTTCTTCTGAGCTCTTGAGTCCGGGAGCACAGTTTCTGGACCAGGTCTGCCCTATCTAGCTTTTGTCTTTGGAGGCCATCATTTAAGTTTGTAGATGGCAGAGCCCTTGATTTTTGGGGAAAGTATGCCCTGCGAGTCAGTTTGGGAGCCCTGTTTGAAAGTTCCAATCATATTTAATTTGTCCCCATGGCTCAGGTGCCAGCTCTTTTAGAGCAAAAACAGCTCTTGAGGTAAGAAAGAGTAGTCCCCAGGAACCTCATCTGGAAGATCACCCCTTGACCTGAGTGAGACCTCTCACCAGAGTGTCACACAGACAGAAGAGGCCCAGGAAAGACTATATCCTAAAACCGCCAGGACAGAAGTAATTCTTGGTCCTCTGACAGAATGAGCAATGTTTGGGTGATGTCACCTTAACCAGAAATCACTAGGCTGTCCACTGATCAGCTTTAAGAACTGAGAAAGGCTGCCAGCATGAGGAAAATGTAGGCAGCACAGCTGAGGGTACCTCACAGTAGACTTGGTGAGGACACAGTTCAGGAAAAGGAATCACCACCCACAGAAGGAGAAACTGCCCTCCCTGTTCGCTTCCATCAGCCACACTCCCTTCACTCTGCGCTCACTCTACAACCTAGAGCTGTGCATCACTGCTCCTTCTAGTCTGGCAGTAAAAAATCAAATAACTAATGTGTAAAAACTTCGAAGATTTTAACATTTTGCCTTTATTTAAGAGGTGCAAAAGAAAGTGGACCAAAAGGTAAATGACTTGTTTAGAGTCACATGATTTATTAGTGGCATGCCCAAAGAATTCCTTGCTGTGCCCCCTTAACAATGACATCACCTGAAATTTTTTATTAAAAGATCTTTTTGAGAAACCATAACCAAGTTAGAATAAACAGAGTACCCCATCCCTTTTCAGGGGATGCTGATGAGGATTTTCTAACTCAAAGACCAAACAGTGTTACTAGGCATGCAGAGAAATAAAAGCAATGTCTTCCCTGTATTCTTTGTTTAATTAGTTCTCAGTGATTTTTACCTTGGTTTTCTGTTTTGTTTTGTTTTTTCCTTTTTTTAGTCATTAGAAGGGAAGATAAATTCTTCTTAATAGGAAATTAGTCAGAAATGTTTACATTCATTCAACTAAAAATCGCATTCTAAGCTCTCTGTGACCAGAGTCAGCATAGACACTGGGTGCTCCTCCACAGGATCTGTCCTGCCCCTAGGGTTGAAGGGCCTGGCCCACAGGGGCTTTATGCGTAGCATCCGTGTGAAGCTTACTAGGCAGATAAGTCTGAGAGCTCACCTGGTTGCACAGGACCTCATTTTCTTTCCTTCTTTCCCAGCTGTACCTTTACAGTTTCTTCAGTTTTCCAAGAGCAGCAGGAAATGAACAAATCACAGGTGAGTTTATTCCTGCCCTGTTTTACAGTGGATTTTGTGAGGTTTGTAAGGGACCCGAAATTAAAATAGAAAATCAGAAATGGATGAAAATCAACATCAGAGACCTATAGACTGTCAGGTCAAGAGCTGAGCAAAGGCAGAGTATAGATAAATGCTGGTCAAAGTCCCAGAGTTAACAAAGTTGAACTGCAAGTTTGCCTCGGATCTTTCTGACAGCAAAGGAGAACCAGAGAAAAGTCTTTTAGGGCACTAAAACACTGGCATTGCTGTAACACATTATCAGAGACTGATGGCTTAAACAGTTATTTCTTATAGTTCCGGAGTCTGGGAACTCCAAGATCAAAATGCCAACATATTTGGTTCTTCGTGAGGACCCTCATCCAGTTTGCACCTGGATCTCTTCTCATTGACGTGGTGGGGAGAGAGAGTAGGCAGCAAGCTCTCTTGTGTCTTTTCTTCTCAGGGCACTAATCTCAGGGCTCTATACTAATGACCCAATTACCTCCCAAAGTTCCCATCGTCAAATACCATCATACTAGGGATTAGGGCTTCAACATATGAATTTTGGTGTGGGGACCCTAGTGTTGGTTCATAACAGAGTTCGAGGACACAGTTTTCTAATGGTCTTGCATGGTTCAGCGGTATAGAATATCTGGAAGAAGGCCGAATGGGCCACGCGTCCTTTAAATGGCTCCTCATAAATATTTCCCCCACCTAGACTGTGGCATTATACGTGTGACTATTACTTAACCCTGCTTACTTAACCCCAGCACTTGGTATTGTCAGACTTTAGACTAACTTCTGAGAAAAACTCATCATTTTAATTTGCATTGCTGAGGTAACTAATGAACTTATACATCATATTTATTGGGTTTTCATTGCTTTTGTGAATGTCTTCATATTTAATCTTTCTATATTAATTTTTAAGAATACTTCATATATTTTGGACAGTAAATCTGTTTTATATTTGTTGTGAACATTTTCTCCAAGTCTGTCCCTTGACCTTTACCTCTACAGTGTCTTTGGCCTTATTAGAGTTTTATATTTTTATGTAGAACAATCTTTGGATCTTTTCTTTCTCTCTCTCTTTTTTTTTTTAAACATTTATTTATTTGACAGACAGAGATCACAAGTAGGCAGAGAGGTAGGCGGGGGCGGGGGTGGGGGGAAGCAGGCTCCCCACCAAGCAGAGAGCCCAATGTGGAGCTTGATCCCAGGACCCTGGGATCAGGACCCGAGCCGAAGGCAGAGGCTTTAACCCACTGAGCCACCCAGGAGTCCCATGGATCTTTTCCATTTTCTTTTTTCTTCTTCAGTTTTAAAATTCTTCCCTAACTTAAGATAATTTGATATTTAAAATTTTTGTTTAATTAATATTAATACTATTAAAAATATTTAAGTCTTGAATCAATATGGAAATCGTTATTGTAGATAATATGAGGAGGGGATCTAGTTTTACCTTTTAACACATAAAAAACCAATTCTTTACTAATGTTTTTCTCAATGAATTATAATGCTACAACTATCAGTATATTACCATGTCTGCACACATATGTTCCTGGGCATTCTAATTCATTCCATTAGTTCTTAATTCATTCCTCTTTAGATTCATCTTGTCCCTTCTCACCTTTTTTCCAGTCTTACTACACGAAACCAGGCATCCTTACCTTGTGCCTGATTTTCAGAGATTACTCAGGAAGTGTTAGCAAACACTGGGATAGTCTCTGTGAGTTTTGGTACACACCAATTACCCCATTAAGTAAGTTTCTTCCTACACCTTAAGTTGTAAAGGTTCATTACACCTAATGGTTTTTCTATATCCCTTAAGGATAGATTTGATTACTAATTTGATTTCTTAGATGGTATATAGTTTTCTTCAGGTTTTCTGAACTTCTTGGTTCAATTAGGGACACATTTATTTTAAAAATTCTACATTTTTTTAAGTTTTCCAATTTCTTTGCATAAGTATGTTTAAAAGACTTGACTTTAAATTTTTAGTGAGGGGTGCCTGGATGGCTCAGTTGTTGAGTGTCTGTCTTCGGCTCTGGTCATGATCCCAGGGTCTTGGGATTGAGCCCCACATCGGGCTCCCTGCTCAGCAGGAATCCTGCTTCTCCCTCTCCCACTCCCTCTGCTTGTGTTCCCTCTCTCACTGTCTCTCTCTCTATCAAATAAACAAATAAAGTATTTAAAAAAATCTTTAGTGAATGCAAATTTTTTATTCCGATTTTTATCAGTTATTAAATTGCACTTTAACATAGAAGCTGCTGATTAGAAATGGGAAAACTATGGTCTGGCTAGTCATATATCTAAAAGCCTAAAATTATAGCATGTGGATATAGAATTGATATTTTCAGATGGTGATCGCATTCTCAAAATGCTTTGCAGGAGATGATACATAGAGTTCCCATACTGATGCCAACCATTAATGTATACCGACTATCATGGTTTTATTATTTTTTTAATCTGTGTGCGTGTACTGGGTAATGTATTCACGTCGGAAAAATCAGTATAATATGAACATATAAATAGAAGTGTATTCTGACTTCCATGTCTTTCTTTCACTGCAACCTCCTCTTGTAATTATAGGGAACAAATTTTGTGTATGTGTATTTTCTCCTTTTTTTAATGCAGAGACAGGTAAATATGATTTTATAGCTATCTATCTGGGTAGATGTAAGCATGTATATAAACTATATACACATAAATATGCATTTCTACCTTTTTCTTACATGTATTTGTATGTATATACGTGTGAATATATACATATGTGTATTCATGCTTATATATGTGTGTGTGTGTGTATGTACTTATTTTTTTTAAAGATTTTATTTATTTATTTGACAGAGAGAGAGGTCACAAGTA